TCAATTAATAATAATAAAAGTTTTCATTTTACTTTCACTTATTCCTTCTTTGACGTTCTTCCCTTCTTTATGCAGAGCCGAGTTTCTTACCTATAGTATTCACCTTCTCTCCAAAAACCTTTTAAAAGTTCTTGCAAGGCAAGTCTACTGGCAACAAAGTCCCTCAATTTTTGTCTTTCTTAGTAGGTCTTTATTTATTCTACACTAATAATTATACCAACAATGTATTTGGTTATGTATGCATCTCATGTCTACATACATGTTTACGTATGCTTATATATAAGTGAAATGAATGACAGCAATGGTGCGAGGGATGGGAGGGAGGAATTAGAATTATTTTGTTATTACAACATAATCATTCTATCTGTGATGTGGTATAGTGTATTTGAAAGTGGACTTGGAATAGTTGTGAATGTGTATTGCAAACTCCAGGGCAACCACTAAAAAGAAGTAAAAAAAAAAAAAAAAGTATAGAAGAGTACAGAATTCTAGATTGGTGAATTTTACCTTTCAACACTTTAAATATTTCACTCTATTCCTTTTTTGTTGCATGGTTTCTGAGAAGTTGGATGTAATTCTTATCTTTGCTCTCTAGAGGTAAAGTGTTTTCTTCCTCTGGCTTCTTTCAGGATTTTAAAGATGATAAGCCTACGTGCAGTTATTTTAGCATTTATCCTTCTCCGTGTTTTCTGAACTTCCTGGATCTGTGATTTGTTATCAGACATTAAGTGTGAGTCATTATTGTTTCAAATATTTCTTCTTTCCCTTCTCTCTTCTCTTTACGGTGTACCCATTGCACATATATTGCACTTTTCATAGTTATCCCACGGTCCTTGGATATTCTGTTGTATTTTTTTCTTTTCAGTCATCGTTCTATTTGCTTTCCAGTTTTTGAGGATTCCACTGATACAGATTCTTTCCTCAGCCATGGCCAGTCTACTAATAAGCCCATCAAGGCATTCTTTATTTGTTAGTTGTTTTTTTTTTTTCCTCTAGCATTTCTTTTTGTTTCTTATGACTTCCATCTCTCTGTTTACATTGCCCATTTGGTCTTGCTTACTGTCTACTTTATCAATTAGAGCCCCTACCATATTAAGCATAGTTGTTTTAAATTCCTCAGCTGATAATTCTATCAGCTCTGCCATGTCTGTTTCTGACACTTGCTCTGTCTCTTCAAATTCTGCTTTTTACCCTTTGGTACGCCTTGTAATTTTTTCTTGGTAGCCAGACATGATGTGCAGAATAAAAGAAACTGCTGTAAATAGTCCTGTAGTAATGTGGTTGTGAGGTGTGAGTGGGGAGGAAGTATTCTATAGTCCTACGATTAGGTCTCAGTCTTTTAGTGAGCCTGTGCCTCTGGACTGTGAACTTCACCGTTTTTTTCTCCCCCTACAAGTGGGATACAATAACTACAGTGGGCTGAATTTGGGTATTTCTCTTACCTCAGTTAGGCTCTAATAAAACCCACAGGTTAGGTTCTGATTAGTTTCTCCTGAGGGCAGGCCTTGTTAAGAACAACATTATATGCACTCTGAAATATTTCAAAATGCTTCTTTTTCCCTTGCCCCACTGGAAGCCTAAGGAGATTCTTCTCTTCTATTTAATATGGGAATCTAGTCAAGCTTCTGTTGGTAAACTTCACAATATTATCATTGCCTCTCCCCACCTCCACCCCGCCATGACTAGGTCCTTCTGGAGTTTTTAACTCTCAGAGTTGTCTATACTGAGCTTCAGCAATTCAGGTCAGGTTTCCTATCCCGGAACTGGTTCCCAAAGTGATTTCTACTCAAGTCTCTGATCTGATAAGCAGTGACTCCCTGTATTTACCTGTCTGTCTCTCCAATCTTGGGTGCAGCAATTTGCCCTGTGTCCTTCCCTTTCTTATGGATCTAAAATGAGTTGTGGACTTTTCAGTTTGCTCAGCTTTTTACTTGTTGTTAGGACAGAGTATCAGTTTCCAAGATTCTTACATGTGAAACCAGAAACTGGATGTCAAGTTCAAAGTTTTGTTTGTTTGTTTGATTGTTTCCTTATGATTTGATTTTTTTAAAAACTAACAGATGTTATAAATAGCTGAAAGCGCCTTATAGACCCAAAAGTAATGTCACTGGTAGTCTAATGCAGCCACTGAAAGCTCAGAGAAACACGAGTGATGATGTGTGCTGTCTACTGGTCACATCAAGTCCGATCTCTTTTCATCTTTTAGGCCTGAACCCACTTCTGGTGTGTACTGGCATTCTAGCTTTCTGCTGGAAACAGCAGTGCCTCCACGATTAACTCTAATTACACACCTCACAGCCTGATCCTTTTCTGCCTCCTGGACTACAGTCTCCCATTATATCCCAAGCTCAGTCTCTGCCATCCAAAGTGGAGCAGCAGCAGAACTGAATAATTATAAGATTTCTGGATGGTGAATAATACACACACCTTAAAAGTGATTTTAAAAAGATATATATCACATAAACAGATTATTTTACAAAGAGTACAGTATGAGAAGAAAAGGGGAAAAAAAAGAGTAACTTTACAGTAGAGAAACCTAACAAACACTATCTCCAGCCAGGTAATCAAGTTTAACATCATGGTAAGCCATGTTGATAACAGGTACCTTTGATAAGATGTGATGAGAATGGCACTTTACTTTTGGTCTTCCTCCCCAAAACACATGACCTGAGTCTATCATGAGTAAAAAAACAGACAAATCCCAATTGAGATTCCACAAGATTAATGACCAGTACTTCTCAAAACTGTCAAAGTCTGAGAACAAGAGAAGTCTGAGAAACAGTCACAACCAAGAGGAGCCGTAGGAGTCATGATGACTAAATGTAATGTGGTTTCCTGAAGGAGATCCTGGGACAGAAAAAGGACACTAGGTAAAAACAAAAAAAATCTAAATAATGTAGTTCAGTTAATAATAATGCATCCATGTTGGATTATTAATTATAACAAATGTACCGTGCTAATCTAAGAAGTTACTAATAGAGACAACCAGTGTGAGGTATACAGAATGTCTCTGTACTATTTCCACAATAATTCTGAAAATCGGAAACTGTTCCAAAATAAAAGATTATTTTTAATATTAATCACAATTAAGTTTTTAATTATATAAGTAAACATTCAACAACATAAACGTTAAAATTTTTATAAAAATTTATAACTGTAACATAGAAAAATAGCAACTAGGGAAAAGTACCTATGACAAATATGACAAAAGATCGAAGTGTATATATAAAGTTCATAAGTATATAAGAGAAACATTGAGAAAAAAGTTAAACAGGGAAAAGAAGACTAGAATTCATACAAAAGGAAATACAATGTATTAAACAATGATAATAAAGAAAATTGTTAAAAAACTAAAACAATTAGGTATCATCCAAGTAGCAAAATTATTTCAAATAATACCCAGTGATGGTAATGCTACATTTTAAATCACTTCACTTATACTGAATTGGTAGCTATCTAAACTAATTTAAAAAAAAAATTCTTTTTAAAGTCCTATGGACTGAATTGTGGCCCCCAAAATTCACATGTTGAAGCTCTAACCCCCAAACCCTGAATGTGATGGTATTTGGACATGAGGTTTGGGGGAGATAATTAGGTTTAAATGAGGTCTTGAGAATGGGCCCTCTTGAGAGGATTAGGACCTTTAGGAGATACCAGAGAGCTAGAGCTAGCATGCACTCCCTCCCTCTCTCTCAAAAGCAGCTATCTGCAAGCTAGGAAGAGTGCTTTCACCAGAACCTGGCCGTGCTGGCACCCTCATCTAGCCTCCAGATCTGTGAGAAAATAAATTTCTGTTGTTTAAGCCACACAACCCGTAGTATTTTTTTATGGTAGCCTGAAGTAACTAACACAGAAAGGCAATTTAAGATATATCATATAAAGAACAATAAAAATATTCATCTCTTTTAATCCAGCAATCCTGTATCTGTGAAGTTAACCTTTGGGGATAATTCACAAATATGACAAAGCTATACACATGAAAATATTCATTACTTAGTTTTAAGTTTTTAAACCAGTAACAATTTAAATGGCTAACAATGGGGAAATGAGTAAATAATTGTGGTGTTCCATCTGATCTAATACAATATGATTTAAAATCATTACAAAAACTATGCAGGCTTATATAAAATGCTTATAATAAAATTAAGTGCAAACCAAAAGCAAAAATCTACAATACAAGGTTAACCATGTAAGCAAACAAGATGTATAGGGATCCCTGCTTTTTGAAAGTTCGCCTTATGCTACTTCACTTTTACAAAGAACTATATTAGTACCTGTTTTCACCAATGAAAAAAAAAGCCAAAGAGATTTTCACATTTTTAAAAAAGGCAAAAAGTGAAAAGTGTTCAGCGTTTGTTTTTCAGTGCAGTATGTGCCCTGAGCAGGGACAGTGGCCCCACCAAGCTCCTTCCCCAGGAACCACAACTCACATCTCTGCAAATCAGTGTCTCAGCATCAAGCCACCATACTTCTCACTGTGTCTGTGAATATCGAAGCTTTATCACGATTTGTTTGCATTCCTGTTTTTTGTATTTAGTATATTTATGTATTACGTGGTATGATTTGGTATGTTATCTGAGAATGCTCAAAATCTTTCTCATATAAATTAATGGTAATTGCTTCTCTTTACGCCATTTAGGCTTATGAAAAGTTTCATAGGAACACTCCACTTTCAGGTAGCAGGGGAAACTTATAAAAGCTAGCTATAAACAAAATTTAATCTGTTGGAAAACATTTGTTTTGTTTCTAGTTTACATTAACATTTGTTTTAATTAATGTTATAAGAAATAATACTCAAAAATATATCCGATAGTAATTTTAGATAGATCCTTTCTTAAATATAACTTAAATATAACCACATCCTAACTCTTGAATTACAGAAAAGCCACTTCTGACGTCACTACTCCCAAAAAAAAAAAAAAAGAAATATTTACAGTTTATTATATAAGAGAACCATGAATTTTTCTTTACTACATGTTTTTCATTATGTTATTACTTACATAGAGATGGTTTCCAAGGCATCTTCGAAGATGTCCTGAGGGGGAACAAAAAATACAGTGAGCTTCTTGAGAATTAAGAACTCTACGTGTAAACAAGAAAATGAGTAAGTGGGTGTATGCAGGGGTGGGGGACAGTTCTGGTGGGACGCAGCAGAATCGCTCAATTCTCACTAATAAAATGTCATTCAGAGAAATCAAGTATATGAATTTAAGTAAAGTTTAATTTTTTTTAAATAATTAAAGATTAGTAAAATACTTGGCTAACTATCAAACTGGGATCATTTGAAAAAGTGTGAATTTTTAATGGAATTATCTTTCACTCCTCTGCCTCATTCATCTCAGATATAGAATAAAACAAATAGCAGTATTTACCCAATTTAGTCTTCTCTTTCTACATGGCTAGCCAAGTTAGCATCCTCTAAGCCTTTGTTTCATATCTAACTTCACTGCCCTCCTAGCTAGTCTTTCTGTCACCAGCCTTTCCCCCTTAAATTGGAGAGGAAAGGAGGAAGCTGGTATAAATCTGTACACATGACAGCGCTTTCCTTCATGCCAATGGCCTGTTCAAAAGCTACAACAGGAGAAAAACTCAAACCAAAATACACACACACACACTAATATCCACTTACAAATCCACACGTGCAACCCACACTCATATACACTGACTCACATACTTACAATCTCACACATATACTCTTACAGATACACATATTCACTCACAAATTCATAGAAACACAAAGCTCCCTCATAGCTGCAAAAATAAAATCCAAGCTCCTCATCCAAGTATTTGGGACCCTCCATAACCTAGTCAAATCATCAAAGCATCTTTCTCTCACATCCCTACCACCATCTGCATAGCTCAAACACAAAGATTGCACTGGTCTCCCTACACCCACTCTTGACACTCTGCATTCAATTCTTCACGCAGCAGCCATAGTTATTCTTTTCCTTTCTTTCTCTTCTTTTAATAAGCTCATACCATTCCGCTGCTCTAGGCCTAAGAGCTTTCCAATTCCCTGAGAATAAACCCAAACTTCTTTCCATGATCTACAAAGCCTTAAATGAAGTCCTTCCCACCTCTCCACCCACCTGCCCCCTTGCTCAGTCCACTTCAGGCACAGGTCTGTCTTTCCGTTCCTTGAACAAGCCAAACTCATCCTACACCTCTCTGCATTGTTCTCTCTTTTGTAGAATGCTCTTCACTCAACTCTTCCTGTGGCTGACTCATTCTCATCTTTCTGTTTTCAGCTCAGAAAGCTACCTCCTCAAGGAGACTGTCTCTGACAACTCTAAATAAAATTACTGAGAATAGCAGTTTACTTATAGTTTTTCATCATCTGATTTATTTCATTCATAATCTCTAATCATCTTGTTTGTTTACTTGGCTCCAATCTATCTCCATCGGGTCAGCTTCACATTAATCATGTTTACAGAAAAATCACAAGGGCTTGACACAGAGTTGTTGCTCAATAAATACATGTTGCCCAATGAATGAATGACCTGTGCATGGACTGTCAGGGCACAATCGTATCATCATATTGAGAACTATGATACAGAAATGAGGAAACAGGGTTACAGAACTTTTGTGTTACCATTAATACTGAACAATGTTTAAGCTATATTGGACTCTGCATTTAGGCAAGAAAGGAAAAAATTATACAAATACTGCTAAAAAGAAGAAACAACATTATGAGTAGTGGCAGAACTGAGTTTAAAATTGGGTATTCCTGACCTATGAATCTACATTAGCACCGTATTCTGCAAGGGAGGTAGGCAGGGTCAAGTGCAATTCCATCCTCTCCTCACTCTCCTGGAGCAACATCAGAAGCTCATAAACTAGCTACTGGAAGAGAAATGAGCTAGTCCTAAATAGCCTAAGCCAAAAGTACAAATATGCTTCTATGGCCTCTATAAAAATTTCTAACTAGAAAAAGGCTATTTTCTCCAAATCAAAAGTCTGAAGAGGCTCTTTCCTTTGGAATCAGCTTTTGTCATTTTGAATCACAGCTCAGTGTCTCACATGCCAGCACACAGGCTATCATGCGAGGGGTTGTGGAGAAGGGGAGACACTCTGCTCTCCAGGAACCCACATCCAGCTGTGATGATCAGTTGCCGGTACCAGACACCAGCTCACAGTCCCTACAGCATCATGGTTAATCCTGCCCAGGCTGCCCTTTACCAAGTAAGGACAAATGTAGAGAGCAGGCTCCCGGATGTTTCTGTGCATCCATCCCACTCTCAGCAACCGCAACCCAGAGAAGGACACACAGCAGACACTGAAATACTGAGTGGGGCTCAGAAAAAAAGGGCAACCTGGGAAGCCAGCTCTCCATTTAAAAGGAGACCAGGCTAATACTTACACATAAACAATAAATAGCCCCATCACCAACTTCAGAAAAAGAAAAACAAAAGGAGATCAAGTAAGAACTCATCTTCACTTAAGTAACATATCTCCATTTTTCCATATGCAGAGGTTCCCTAAATAAAACGTCCTATCCAACATGGTGACCAGAGTTAACCATACTGCATTGTATATCTGAAAGTGGCTAAGAGAGTAGATTTTAAAAATTCTCACACACACAAAAAAACTGCAAATTTGTGAGGTGATGGATATGTCACCTATCATGGTGATTGTTCTTCAATAATACATATCTGAAATCATTATGTGGTACACTTTAAATTTCCACAATGTTATATGTTAATTATATCTCAAAAGCTGGGAAAAGAATTTTTTATTAAAAAATGTTAAAATCTATATTTTTCCATTTACATGAAAATTAAATAGAATATCTCCATTAGTACTTCAGAAAATCTATCAAAGTTCTAGGACATTATTCTACTAAACTAGAGATGAGGAAGGAAGAAAGGGAGGGAGGAACAGAGCGGGAAAGGAGGGAGAGAAGGTAGGAGAGGGAGAAGGAGAAAGGGAGGGAACATTGTCTATGAAGGTCAGACAAAAGGTGAAATTCTTTTCATTTAAAAAAGAGGAAAGGTAAACAGCAGTACAAAGATGTACCGACTGTCTATCATGTGCCAGTAACTTTAGAAAAACTATCTCATTTGCTCCTCCCAATTCAAAGCAAGTAAATCTAGTCGCAGGCAATTACCTGCCCAATTTACGCAACTGGTAAGTGAAGAAATTAGGATTCAATCTCAGACTTCCTTAACTCCAAAGTATGTTTTAAATGTTAATAAAACTTTCCAAAACTTGGGACTGAGGCAGTTGGACAGGAGTGGAAAAGGGATGGGAGAGGAGGGGGCAGCATATCCTCTCACGTCATACCGCAGCATTGTTGAACAAGCCCTCCCAAGGATTATTTCATTCTCAAGGAGAATGTACTTGTGTTTGACTTTGCTACTTACCATCTGATTAGAATCCAGACACTGTGAAGTTACATGTTAACGTAGAGTTCGGAATGGTAGGAAACCCCAAAAGTTATAGTTATATTACCCTATAGCCTAGCAATCATAATCTAGCATTCCTTTTTTAAGCCTAAAAATACCTGGTTCCTTAAATATCCTTTGAGTCAGTTTACCATCTCACTGGTTTCCACCTTGAGGGGCTAAATAAAATTTTGACTTATTCACTTTATATCCTTATGAGTCATATTTCTACTTTTTGAAAATTATACCTCGACACTGATAGTGACAACACACTCTCTCCCTGGGTACCTGCAAATACACTTTCCTAGCTCCTTGGAAAAACTGATATGGGTCCATTTGGGGGACTAAATGCCAGAAGTGAAAAAGACTGTCTGCTCATACCTCCTGTACCATAAACCCAGGGACCAGTGGTTTCCATTTCCTCTGTCCTCTAGGTCCTGACACCCAGCTCAAAACCTACCCCTTCCCACTGTCGCTTCAGGAAGCTCGTTTCCTCTGCGAGTTCCCATCAGGTCTGGCCTTTGAACTCCAGAAGACTACTAGTCTACAGCACCCCACCAAGCACTAAATATGCCCATATATATTCATTACATAGCATAACTAGAATTTTCTATCTCTGGGCTCTGTTTTTTCCATACTCATCATCAACTTCCCAATGCTTCTCCAATGTTGGTTTCATTTCCCCAGTGATTACTATAAACCAGTTTTCCTTAAACCTCCCAGCACTGGGTAGGCATATCATGTGGACTCCAGTTGAAATATACACAAGTCAGAGTCCTTCCAGTTCAAGGAAAGTAAGACAGAAAAGCTCATGCTGCTGACCAACAGGGTGAGCTCATAGGGAAGCCTCAGCGTTTAGTTCCTTCCTTGAAGGAAGCTGCTTTACCTCCCTCATTCCTGTGCTGGAACCAAAGACCTTGAGGAGCTACTCCCCTTGGGCACAGTATAACAAATATTTAACCGAGCCACACCTGGCTCCTCATCCTACACTGCCTCAAAATGGTACCTGACTTTTCAAGAGCCTTTCTTGACTCCCTGGCTAGAGTCAAGAGCTATTACATTCTTTTAGAATCCACTTTATAACCCAGCACAATACTTTGCACTTTATAGACTCTCAGCAAATAATTGTTGGCTGGCTGACTGAGTATCCTTATCTTGAGATGGATTTTCCTTACCTTGAGCAGTTTCATTTTGCAATTTAGCAAGTAGGCTAACCCTGTCAGGCGAAGGATTCCCTGGAGGACCTTCCTGACACAAGACTAACAACCTAGGATTTGCTCCCTGTTGGGTGGGGAGGCTGTCCCTAGATGGGTGAAGGATCCTGCTCACAGAAAGTGACATAGAAGTAAGGAAATGGGATGGGGGTACTGTATCAACTATTAAGGCTTTTCTAAACAATTTTCCTGTTAATTTGCTAACTTCGCCACGTTCTGAGTATAAAAATGCATGTAAGTGCATTTAAATGACAGCAGGTTCTTAATAAATCTTTAATTAATTTAAGAAGCTTAAATAATGGAGATACTAATGATAAAAAGTTTGCATTATTTCTATTCCTGTGAGGGAGAGGCGAAGAATAAAGATGGTAAATATGCTATTAACAATAATAATTTAGATAGCTGTATTAACTTCCAAAGAGACCAAAGAGATTTAC